GGAATCCATCAAAATCCTAGAGGAGAACATAGGCAATAATCTCCTCAACACTGGCCACAGCAACTTCTTTCAAGACATGTCTCCAAAAGAAGGAAAACAAAAGCAAAAATGAACTTTTGGGACTTCATCAAGATAAAAACAGTCTGCACAGCAAAGGAAACAGTCAACAAAACAAAGAGGCCACCTACAGAATGGGAGAAGATATTTGCAAATAACACTACAGATAAAGGGCTGATATCCAAGATCTATAAAGAACTTTTCAAACTCAACACCCAAAAAACAGATAATCAAGTCAAAAAATGGGCAGAAGACATGAACAGACACTTTTCAAAAAAAGACACACATATGGCTCACAGACACATGGAAAAATGTCCATCATCATTAGCCATTAGGGAAATTCAAATCAAACCTACATTGAGATATCACCTTATACCAGTTAGAATGCCCAAAACTGACAAGGCAAGAAAGGACAAATGTTGGAAAGATTGTGGAGATGGGGAACCCTCTTGCAATGTTGGTGGGAATGCAAGATAGTACAGCCACTTTGGAAAACAGTGTGGAAAGTTAAAAGTTAAAAATAGAGCTACCGTATGACCCAGCAATTGCACTACTAGGCATTTACCCCAAAGATATAAATGTAGTGAAAAGAAGGGCCACATGCCCCCCAGTGTTCATAGCAGCAATGTCCACAATAGCCAAACTGTGGAAAGAGCTGAGATGCCCTTCGATAGAAGAATGGATAAAGAAGATGTGGTCCATGTATACAATGGAATATTACTTAGCCGTCAGATAGGATGAATACCCAACTTTTGCATCAACATGGATGGAACTGGAGGAGATTATGCTTAGTGAAATAAGTCAAGCAGAGTAAGTCAATTATCATATGGTTTCACTTATTTGTGGAACATAAGGAATAACATGGAGGACATTAGGAGAAGGAAGGGAAAAATGAAGGGGAGGAAATCATAGGGGGACGAACCACAAAAGACAATGGACTCCAGGAAACAAACTGAGGGTTTTAAAGGGGAGGGGAGTGGGGGATGGGTTAGCCCAGTGATGGGTATTAAGGAGGGCACGTATTGCACAGAGCTCTGGGTGTTATACACAGTGAATCATGGAACCCTACATCAAAAACTAATGATGTACTGTATGGTGACTAACATAACATATTTTAAAAATAGAATAAAATGAAAAATAAGAAAAAATAAAATAAAATTCAAGTCAATTCCTGTGTCAATGTATACCTACTATTTAGGTATACAAATAATATGCAAATAATATGCAAACCAGCAGGCTAGTTTTCAAGTAAGACCACCAATAAGGTATTATATACTTATAAATCAAATGCAGTCAAGTAGCATAAAGGATTCATTTCCCAAATACACTATATCAGAAAGAAAAGCCCGAACAAAAAACTGATAGTACTAAAATTATTCATGATTATCTCAATTCAATCTATTGATGAATTATCAGGTGAATACCCTAATCACTTCAATTCCACAGTCAAAATATTTCTATGCAAATTATAACATTAATATTAAAACAGCCCTATTACTTAAGAGGGTAGGCTGTTAACCCCATAATGGAACTCAATTTTCTTTTTTATAGAACATTTTAAAATTTGTAAATACCTTCAAATGAATGCTAAACAACTAATAGCAATGGTCAAAATAATAAGCAAAAGGACACAATATGCTTAGAGAATGTTTAAGAAGTATTAGAGATTATACAGAAAGGAACTTAATGATAAATGAATGGTTTTGTTTCATTCCTCCCTTTATTCATTCACTCAACAAACATTTATTTAACCTATGCCAGGTACTGTGCTAGGTACTGGAGATAAAACAGTGAACAAACCAAACTTGGTAGCAACCCTTGCAAAACATTCGGTTTAGCGACGCAGTTACACTAATAATCTGGCCTCCCAGAGGAAGTAATGCTGGAGCTGGTAGGGGAGCGGGTACGAAGGATGAGAGTGAGTTACTGTGGCAAAAAGGGGAGAGAAGAGTTTTCCAATGGGGAAGAAGAGCAAGTGCCATGTATGTTCCTGAGGTAGGAGGGAGCATGGCCCTCACACAGAATGTTAATTGTTCAAACCCTGAGGACTGGGGGGGTGGGATGGGGAAGAGGGGTGGTGGGGGCAGGTCTAAGGTCTGGAGCTCAGAAAAAGATTTGGCTAGAGGAGTAAATCTGGGACTCATCCACATAGAGAGGGTAGGAAAAGCACACCTGTGTCTCCAGAACACAGTTCAGAGACAATCAACAGTTAAATGTTCCAGAGGAAAATGATAGTATTCAAAATACAGAAGGATGGCTGGGCTCAGTGGGAAGGGACTGCCCTTTGAGTAGCAGGAGGGAGGGAACAGGTGGACCAGAAACATATTAAAACTCCTGAGGCACCTGGAGGGCTCAGTGGGTTAAAGTCTCTGCCTTTGGCTCAGGTCATGATTCCAGGGTCCTGGGATCAAGCCCCGCATTGGGCTCTCTGCTCAGCAGGGAGCCTGCTTCCCTTCCTCTCTCTCTTCCTGCCTCTCTGCCTACTTGTGATCTCTATCAAATAAATAATAAATAAAATCTTAAAAAAAAAAAAAGAAACATATTAAAACTCAGCTTTTTTTTTTTTTTTTTTTTTTTGTTGAATATGAAGATTTAGTGGAACTACTCTCCACTGGACAATGTAGCCAAGGAAACAAGGATACCTGGGTTCATCTGGGTTGGGATATTGTCAGTCAAATGGATCAAAAATGCAGGAAGCAAGAGAAATTAAGGATTCAAAAGAGTCACAGACTCTCAACTGAATAAGAAGGGAAATGAGGAAAAGAGGGGGGATGATGGGTTGGTAGAAAGTAGCAAGGCCAGTAGATGAGACATTGCAAAGAGGTCAAAGTACAGCCACAGTGGGGGAAGGTAAACCAGCAGGCTAGACAGAGAGGAGGTCCTGGTGAGAATAAAGTGGCTGATGAGGTGATCAGAACTAGAGCAAATACTGGGGGTTCAAGGTCCAAGGGGCAACTGTGGGAGTGGATGGCTCAACATTAGGAGACAGTTTTTGGAGATAAGCAGGTTGAAGATCCCAGGTCACCAAGTTGGACAGATTCTCCATGCAAGCACTGAGTACACTGGGAAATTGTAAAGGGTTTGTGATGAGGAAAAAACACTGTAAGCTGGGTTCCAGGTGCTCAGCAAATGAGGGGAAATGACCCTGACAACCGTGGAGAGGAGAGAGAGGGAAGGAGTCCAAGAGCACCAGGATGAGCATATCTTTGTTGTGTTTCGTTACTGTTGCCTTCTCAGACAACCAGCTCAAGGAGTAAGGATGGAGAAGCAAAACTGTCCCGGGAGACAACAATCTCTCTACCCAGACCCCAAATACACAAGATGGGAGGAGATAATAATGTCACCCTTGGCAGGGTGACAAGAGAAGTGGAACCTCAGGAGAGGACAGGTCTCAGTGAAGTCAGCAAGGTGCGAAGAGCTTTTCAGGGTGATGGAGGGGTTACAGCAGCACACACAATTGTGGTACGACAGTTCCTCAGGGCACAAAGGTAGTTTGAAAAGTGGGGAAGGGAGAAGTCTGCATCACAGCAGAGAAGGAAAGACCATTCTGGAGATAATGGCGTAGTGGAGAACAGATGGCAGTGGGATCAGAATTGATCAATAAAAGCAGAGATAGAAGATTTAAAATAAAAAATAACTTTGAGACAAATGCACATAGGTCCTGAGAGCCAGAAATGAACCACTTGGCTGAGGTGGTGGCAGATACCATGGTCTCTAAGTGCTACGGTCTCTACGTGCTATTTTGGCTGGAAGCCTGATCTAGAGCAGGATTTCCCATCCTGTCACATTGACATTTGGAGCCAGATTGTTCTTTGCTATGGGGAGTTGTTCTGCATATTATAAGATGTTTAACAGGATCCCTAGTAGATGTCAATAGCACGCCCAACCCCAGGGACCACCAAAAATGTTGGCAGATACTGCGCAATGTACACCGAAGCGTAATCATCGCCCCCCTGAGAATCACCAATCTGGAGCAACAGGCTCCGAGCTATACCCGCTGTCACAAGGCGTCCCTCCATTCCTAAACGTATTTTTGCAACTGGTCAACTCTAATAGCTTCAGGGTTGTGGAATAAAGCTGGTCTCCTCATTTCATAGACATACCAAGTTCTTAATTAGTAAAAAGAGAAGTATTTCCTATGTCTCACACTTCTCTTATTATTGGCTCTGAAGATCCTATTGACTGTTTCCTCAGAGGATGATGGAGACATGCCTCCACTGAGAATATTAAAAAAAAAAAATGCCCTCTGCTTTCTTATTGACTGCACCCTCAGTTTTGGGAATGTGCCAAGTTCCTTCCTGTTCCAGAGCATTTCCCCAAGTCATCCCATCCCTCAGATCCCAGATTATAGAGCCTTCTTCAGGATGACACTTCCTCATTCTATCAGCCCTGTACTTTTCCTTCGTAAGCACTTTTCCCAATTATATGTGTATTGTTACTAGGTGTGATTTGCTTACTATCTGTTTCCCCCAAAGAATATACATTTCATGGGGGCAGGAAGTTTATCTGTTTTATTCACTGATGAATCTTCTCCATCAAGTATAGTGCTTGGCTCAATAAATATCTGTTAAAGGAATTATTAAAAGAAAATGCTATGAGTGTTTTCAGAATACATATCACACTCCCCAAAGTGACTGCTTTAAAGGGGATGATAGTCATACAAAAGTATAGTGATCATATACCTTTATGGAAGTATGCTTTTTTTGAGATATCCCAAATAAGCAAAGGACAATAAGTCGTATCATTCAAAGAACCATGAAATGTACCTAGGTAAGACCAGTAAGTAGATCACAGTGGTTAAGCCATGTGCTACGATACTAAACTGGTTTGCTTAATTCCTTCAAATTTATGTTGAGCCTTGCTCTGCACTCAGCCCTGGGGTGCACAGTGTGACTATTTCAGGGCTCACAACACCAAACAAGGAAGCATCCTACAGGGCCAACCTCAGGCAGCGTTCAGACGGCATTCTCCAGCTGGGTTCCTCAGGATCTCAGCCTTAGCAGTTTGCAAGCATTCCAGCTGAATAAAAAGACAAGAAAGAAAAGCACAGTGAGCTAAAGGCAAAAAACAAACAAACAAACAACAACAAAAAAAAAAACCACACCACTCTGGGCTTTCATGGTGCAAATGCTTTAGAACCCCAAGAAGGCACCCGGGGGAGTTTTATAGTCAAGATTCAACATTTCAACTGAATGCTCTTTAATAAGCGATGGTTCGGGATGTTTTTGAGTTTTTTTCACCTCACTGGAATTTCAGAGACTAAGTAGTAAAATGTGTCTGAGAACCAACAATACCTAAATTAAGGGTTACAGCAAAAATTGAAACATCCGATGGCCAAAGGGAAAAAAATAAGATTTGATAAAATAGAGATACAAAGGTTTCAACTACAAATTCTAGTTGTCTTGTCCTTTATAGCAATTTTACTTTTCTTTTTTTTTTTTAAAGATTTTATTTATTTATTTGACAGAGAGAGATCACAAGTAGATGGAGAGGCAGGCAGAGAGAGAGAGAGAGAGGGAAGCAGGATCTCTGCCAAGCAGAGAACCCGATGAGGGACTCGATCCCAGGACCCTGAGATCATGACCTGAGCCGAAGGCAGCGGCTTAACCCACTGAGCCACCCAGGTGCCCCGCAATTTTACTTTTCATCCAAACATAAATATTAGTGAAATTAGGTTAAAATCACATGTGTCTTGGCTAAGTATTTACAGAAATATAATTTTCTTGTTTTAAAGTACTTTGAGTATCTTTTTTTTTTTTAAGATTTATTTATTTGGGGGGGGTGAAGGGCAGAAGGCAAGGGAGAGAGTTTTAAGCAGACTCGAATCTGAGCACAGAGCCCAACATGGGGCCTGATCTCATGACCCTGAGATGCCAAAACCAAGAGGCAAATGCTTAACTGACTATGCCACCCAGATGCCCCCAGAAAGACAATTTTCTATTCAAAGAGCAGATTTCTGAAAACTCGATGAAAAAATAATATAGAGGGAAGATAAAAATTAGTGGGAAATGGAAAATAGATTCTTATAGGAGCTTCAGGATTAGCATAACTGAAAATATACAATAGAATGACGTTCTCAGGCTTGATCAAATATCTCCTTGGCTATATACTCTCTTAATCCTATTTCCCCCCCACCTCACCACCCCCTCCCAGCCTTTGTTTTTAGTCACTGATGTTAAGTCTAAACAGAAAAGTAAATTATTTGAATAGGCTGGGACGTGGTCCACCGACTGTGCTTTACAATTCTTGTTAGTGGGTCTAGTTTCTATTTTCTAATACACTCAAGCAGCAAAATTAATTCTAATCTGGATAATCTTAAGCCCCTTCTGTCTCAATTTTATTTTGAAAAGTATAACAGGGTGAAAACACTTAAGAAAGTAATATATTAAACTGCACCTATTTCTGCTGATTCATATAAAAGAGAGAGCTATGATTTCCAACCTAACTAAAATATAGTATTTGTTATATTGTATACAAACCTGCAGTTGGAATGCCTATATAATAATTCATGTGGATAGATTACAATTTAATTAGATTACAATTGTTCCTGAACATTTGGTTGTTTTGAACATTTTCATACAATTATATTTTTTATTTCTGGTTTTCTTTAATTATAGAAAATAGGATGTCTAGACTTACATTTATTTCTAATTTAAGTTTTGACAAACCTAAAAATGAGCATCATTTCTAATTGATCCAGTAAGACTGAGAAGTACAGAGGCTCAGGATAATTCAAGGCATGTTTTTTTAATTAGCAGAGAAACTTTCTTAGCAACCTATCACTGCTACAGTTTCTTTCCAGAATCTAGGTTATAAACTCCAGGCTCTTACAAGCTAACACAAACACTAACAGAGATGGATACTTGATCTTTAAAATGGCAAAAGAATATTTATTATTACAGAGAGGTGGCAAAAAACAAACAAACAAACAAAAAACCCTTATCTTTCTGAAAGTCTTATAAATGTTCCCAATAACTGGACAAATGGAGAACAATAATCCTAAAAGTTAAAGTAATCCAAAATTAAAGGACACATTTAACTTAATATTTTTCAGGCATTCCAAACATAATTAGAAATCATAAGATAAACTAAATTCCCTTGCTGTTTGGAGACCAACTCATTAAATTAGCTCTCCTCAGAAATTATCTAATTAGGGGCATCTAGGTGGCTTGGTCAGTTAAGCATCAGACTCTTGTTCTCAGCTCAGGTCTTGATCTCAGGGTCGTGAATTCAAAACCCACACTGGGCTCCACACTGAGTGTGAAGCCTACTTAAAAAATAAATATTAAAAAATAAAATAAAGTAAATTATCTAATTAGAATATTTTATATTCTACAAAGTTTAGTGAAAGGGACACCATTTTAAAGGTGAATTAAAATGAATTAAAGGATGAATCACCTCTGAAAAAATGTTATTGTTATTTATTATTTGCTATTTTTATTATGTTATTTACCATTTACCATATATACTTTCATATAAATTGTGTCCTTGGATTATAATCTTGGTTTGGTAGAAGTAACATTTGTTTTTATATTTTAAGTTTATTAGCTATACTTTATATGTTAAGTTTCCCTTACGTGTCTGCTTCTCTCAGCCAGACCTCTCTCCCTTTTCCTGCTTCCTTGCATTTTGCCTGTGGGGGTGGGTGGAGGGCGTGGATTTCTTCCTAACTCAGGGCACTTACCTCTTCCCATAAACCCAAAGAGTTCCAGCCCAGTCTCCTGCCTTTCCCTTCCTCAGACTCCAGAAATGGACTCAGGGCAAGACCAGAAATGGATTGGCAGGACCCCAGGAGCAGAATGGTAAGAAGAAAAGTAGAGTTGGTCCTCAGGCATCTAGCTCTCAGGGCTGCTCATAGCCCATTAAATAATCACACAAGCCCAAAGGGTAGTGCTATATGGGATTGGAAGCCTATGAGGTGGTTCTTTTTCTGTGAATTAAGAGTAATTACATTCAAGGTCCCTTTCTGAACCCAGTGGCATCATAGGACCAGACTATTCTATGAGTTCTAGAATGTACTCATCTCAGCCTCCCACATGCATGATTCCAAAACTCTAAAGGTAATACATCCCCCTCCACAAATGAGCCTTTGTGATCACCTGTGTAAAGAGCATGAGACTCTAATCTACTTCCACTTGGGGCAGAATGCTCCTCCCAGCCTTGCCTCACTTTAGGGGAGAGCACTCCTGAGGTCGGACTGCTGCACCCTTGGCTCATCTGCTCCCTAAACAGAGTCCACACATATGTCTACCTCAAATCCTGGGCATCCACCAGTTAGCCCGATTGGATTAAACCCCTGGGGAACAACCCCATCATCAGTGCTATACCTTTAGGATAGCATTCAGATGTAGCTTGCTCAAAAACACCTCCAAAGTTTCAGAGATTATTTATTTGAATGATTCATAAAATAAATATTTATTGAGAAACTACTTTTTTATGGAAGGCCGAGAGCTGAGTTCCTAGGGTACAGCAGCTAATACGTGAGTTCCTCCTTTCATAGGGTGGAGAGTGGGCCATGGTGGACACATGCAGTGGCTTGAGTAGTCAGCACTGATCTCTTCTCAAAGCCATCCCAAGTAAGCACACTGCGCAGACCACTGCGTGCTCTGCTTTACATACACAGCCTCAAGAGCAACTCCTAGCCCTTTCCTTCTAAACTAAAGGCTGCCTTCCCTTATCCCCATCCTGGCCACTGCCAGGGTCCATATAATTCATTCTTTCATCATAATTGTGATAAATGCAATGGACTCTAAGCTTGGGTTCCTCACCCTAAAAGTAGTAACACCTCCCTCATACTATTGTTGTGTGGATTAAACAAACTGAAATTCTCAGAACCTACCTGTCCCATGATGTTAGCTGTTATTATTGTTATTTATGATTGATTGTTGTTTTAATACACCAGAGGACTTGGCTCATCCTGTGTAATCAGGGAATGGATTTCCCTGAGAATGGAACATCTGCGCTGATCTCTAAAAGATCATTATTGCCTGAGGGAGTGGTAGCGGTTGGGAGGTACCCTGGGCTGAGTCAACATCCTGAGCAGAAAGAAGCAGGGACCTATTAGAGGCCAGAGGGCAGAGCACACAAGCAGTATTAAGAATATTGGTCTCAGGGCACCTGGCTGGCTCGGTCAGTGGAGCTTGTGACTCTTTATCTCAAGGTCATGAGTTTGAACCACACATTGGGCAGAGAAATTACTTAAAAAAAAAAAAAAAGGAATATTGGTCTCTATCCTAAAGTCAGTGGGAGTCCACAGAAGGTTTTAAAGCAAAACACTGGCATGATGAGATCTGCATTTTAAGAAGATGGTTCTGGCTGTGGTTTGAAGGTTCTTGGAAAGCTGCCAGAGTTCCCAAAGGAACAAGAGGGAACCTCCTACTCTTTGGCCCACTGTGTAAGAATAATCACCAGTTCACAAAATCAACCTCTCCCCAACATCAAAACCCCTCTGGTTTCCTGTCCGAGGGATAGCACCTACTTGCCCTCATCAGATATTATCCTGAACAAATATGCCAAGTACTTGTCTCCTGGGCCTTATACTTGGCTGGCACTAACCCATTAGTTGGCTGACACTGAATTCCCTGTTCAAGTGGACTCAAGTCTCCCCTTCAGTGATGGTGGTGTCTAAGGAGAAAGTTTAAGGTAGGGAGAAAGAGAGACCAAGTGTCAAGTTCCTTATCTCACCAGACCCCAGTCGGTCCCCTCACATGCATGAACTTGGTATTTTTGTAGAGCGGACACCTGGTATTACGGCTGCCTAGCCTCTTACAAGGTTCTATTGACAATCAAGCACCTCCCACCACCAAGACTTTGCTGATTGGTCTAAGAGACTGGGCCTAACACAAGCTGAGCTAATCAGAGCCCCTCTCTGGGATTTAGAATTGGAAAGACAAATGCCATATGCCTTCACTCCTATGTGTTATTTAAGAAACGGAACAAATTAACATAGGGGAAAAAAGAGAGACAGAGGCATAAACCAAGCAACAGCCTCTATTTAGAAT